CTTTGAAAATACTGACATTAGTCGTTTCAGTGTTAATAGAAGATCGTCATTCCAACATTTTAAAGATAGGTTAGAGATGAAGGTTCAAGCAGGATCGGCTACACAGATTACGTATAGAAATGTTGTCCATTTCGGGAACAATCAATTTAAATTTGTTCCATTAAAGGTTTGTGACGAAGAGGATGTTGAAACGATGTTCTCGAATCATGAATGTTCTGGGTTTCCGTACATTGATTTATATATAACATTTGAACAATGTCAAGAAACTCAAATTTCTCAGGTCATCAATGCATCCGTAGAAGAAACGCCAACCATAATTCCACACGAAGATGTTGAAGAAGAAGACGTCAAAGAAGAAAATGAGGCACAGGTTGATGATTTATATACTACTTTGTTTGAGGAAGGAAACGGTGTTAACGAAGTCAACAGAGATGAACAACACATTCCAATTGGGAATGTATTCTGCCCACCTGCCCATATGACAAACTTGCCCCTAAATGTAGAAGGAACATCATTTTAATGGTCACAGAATCCTCATATTCCAATGGAGGGTGACATAGAAGTCGGTAACCAATTTAAAAATAAAGTTGATTGTGTGCTTGCCATTAAGCAATATCACATGAAACACTGCGTGGATTATAAGGTGACGGATCCCGACAAGAAGAGATACATAATTTGTTGCAAAAATGATTCCTGCAAGTTTCGTCTATTGGCGTCCTACCGAAAAAGAAGTGACTTGTGGGAGATAGGTATTATGAACCCCCCAAATAGTTGTTCAACAACTATGTTTAACTAGGATCATTAAAACTAACCTCTCAGCTAATGTCTCAAGTATTAATTTTATTTGTAGACAAGGATCCTTCTATTAAGGTTAGTGTTTGCATGACTAAAATTTTTTATGAATACAATTTTACTTTGTCTTACAGAAAGACATGGATTGCAAGGAACAAAGCAATTAAACAGGTATACGGTAACTGGGAGAACTCATACAATGAACTTCCACATTTCCTGTTAGAACTTAAAAAATTTGTTTTGGGCACTGTGCAGGAAATAGAAACACTACCAATGTATACAAATGACAGAATAATTGTCGAAGGGAAACACATCTTCCACCGGCTATTCTGGAAATTCCAACCATGCATCAGAGGTTTTGCATGTTGCAAACATATACTTCAAATTGATGGAACCTAGTTATACGGTAAGTACAAGGGCACACTGGTTATGGCGGTGGCACAAGATGGCAACAACAATATTTTTCCAGTTGCTTTTGCCCTTGTGGAAGGTGAAACAACTGAAGGTTGGGGTTTTTTCTACGAAACTTAAGGAGGCATGTTGCGCCACAACCAAACCTATGTTTGATTACAGACTGACATGCATCAATTGAAAGTGCATACAACAATCTAGAAAATGGTTGGCATAATCCCTCATCGGTACATGTTTATTGTATCCGACACATTGCGCAGAATTTTATGAGAGAAATCAAGGACAAAAACCTACGGAAAAAAGTATATTTGATAACATATATTATATTTTTGTCCATTGTTGATATTATAAAAAAAAAATTATGTAGGGTATGCTTTAAGCCAACCAACATTTCATTACTACCGGTATGAGATTGGCATGGCGAATGATGATGCTTTGAGGTGGCTTGACAATATTCTAGCCGAAAAATGGACGACGACATTTGACGGGGATCAACGTTGGGGTCACATGACTACCAACCTTGTTGAGTCATTGTATAATGTCTTTAAAGGCACACGTAATTTTCCCATTACAGCATTGGTAAGTGCAACATATTATAGACTGAGATCATTATTTGTTGAAAGGGGTGCAAAGTGGAGTGTTGTGTTGAATTCTGGTCAGACATTTACAGACAACTGCCTCAAGGTGATGAAAGAAGAAACAACAAAATCGAGCACACATCAAGTTAGAACTTTTGACTACACTAACAATGTTTTCAGTGTTAAGAAGACAATAGACCATGGTGAGGGGAAGCCTATGGAAAATAATAAGGTCAACCTCCTAAACGGATGGTGTGACTGCGGAAAGTTTCAAGCATACTGTGTCCCTTGCTCACATGTTATCGCTGCATGTTCTAATGTGCGCCACGACGCTTACGCTCTTTTGTCCGACGTTTATAGGATTACAAACCTGTTTGGGGTTTACACCACAAGGTTTCCAGTGCTGCCTTACGATGAATATTGACCCGTTTATGGAGGAGATCAAATTTGCTATAACCCAAGAATGCGGAGGAACAAGAAAGGTCGTCCAGTAAGCACATGTATTAGAACGGAAATGGATAACTTTGATAAGCTTGAGAGGAAATGTTTCGTGTGTCGTCAAACAGGCCACAATCGAACCCTGTGTCCCAATGTGGAAACAAGTAATCGTTAGTGTTTTCATTAATTATCATGTATTGTTTTCTAGCACAAACTACACAACTTTATGCTTTATTAAATGACACAACACCTACATAAATCAATATAGATAAAAATACCAAAAAGCAACATTTAACATAACATTTGGTACAATTTCTCTAACTGATTACAATTAGCAGTCTGATTCCATTTTGCCCAAACATCATTTCCCTAACTTCCTTATCATTCTTGACTCACATTCACCCACGTAGCAACGTTTAACATAACATTTTGTACAATTTCTCTAACTGATTACAATTATCAGTCTGATTCCATTTTGCTCAAACATCATTTTCTTGACTTCCTTATCATTCTTGACTCGCATCCACCCATGTCGGGCATCATACCTGTCAATACTTCTAATTTTTTTCCCTTTTGGTATGTCTCCTTCTAACCAACGCTTCAATTTCCTATGTAGTTGCTCTAAACTACATATGTTCCAGAAAAACATATCCATAGTCGGTTCTTCTCTAAAAAAAATTACTTTTCCCCAGCGGCGAAGATACATCTTCAAAACAATACAAGAAATTTAAAACAGATGTGAAAATATGTCACACCACACCTCTATTTATATCAGTCGCGGGACTATACAAAAATATTAAAATATTAAAAAGTTTCACCCATTCAGGTGTCGACAATGTACAAAAATAATAAAATACTAAAAGGTTCCGCTCATTCAGGTGCCAACATTGTACAAAAACATTAAAATATTAAAAGGTTCCGCCCATTCAAGTGTCGGCACTGTACAACAAGAATAAAATACTAAAAAATTCTGCCTATTTAGTTGCCGGTATTGTACAAAAATATTAAAATATTAAAAAATTCCGCCCATTCAGGTGTCAGCGCTGTACATAAATAATAAAATAGTCAAGAACTCCGCTCATTCTAGTGTCGACAGTGCATTATAATAAAAAAAATAACAAAATTTTATTATTAATACTCGTTTATTTATTGTTAATTACATTAAAGATTAATATTAATTATAAATATATTAATAATAAAATTAATTATTAATATATTATTAATAATTATATTAGCATAATTATCTCTTACTAAATAATATTAATTATGTTTATCAACATATGTTAATATTAATAATAATTGTATTAATATATATTAATATTATAATTGTATTAATATTATAATTGTATTAATATTAATATTTAAATTGTATTAATATTATTATATATTAATTAATTGTATTAATATTAACATTATTAATTAATATTAATATATAGTAATGTTAATATTATATATAGTGTCGTCCTTTTAATGGGTGGCAGAGGTGATTTTTAAATAGTTCTGCCCTTTTATTGGATGGCAGTGCTTACATGTCCAAAATTTTTTTTTGAAACAATGGCAAAATGGTATATATATGATGGACTTATATGGCATATTGAAAAAAAGAGATTAATAATATGGCATGTTGAAAAAAATTCACAAAATCAATCCTCCAACTCTGAAAGACTACTAGATTTTTTGAGGACGATGATACTAAGTGATTAGATATCTGACTCAAAATAGAAGAAAAATATCAAAGATATTACTCTAGGAGTAACTTACTTGTGTGTGTACAAGTATTTCTTTTAAGAATTTATGGGTTGTTATTCCCTCAATGTTTTAGCAAAACGGTAACAATTAGTAATTCTAAGTTTCCTTCAAACTCTTGATCTCCAAAACTTTGAGAACTAAAGATAATTATGACATGAAGATCTAACCCCATTTTAGTGTCTAACTCGTCTTTTAATATAATGTCGTTTTCCTATGCAGTTAATTATATTTCAAACAATTTAAACAACGTAGCAGAAAATAGTTCCATTCTGTACCATAACAGTTGTGACAGATTCACACAATCATAGAAATTTTATATTAATAAAAAGTTGGGAAAATAATAAAGTTAACACAACCACAAAATCATATAAATTAAAACCTTACAACAAAAATTGCAGTCATTTTGGTACTATTGCAACTAACAATCATTTGGATGCTTTTACTTTGGCACTAATTATTTTGCACTACCATAGCAACATCCAAATAGTTGGGAATTGTGAGTAAAGGTAGCAGCAATCTTATTCTAAATTCTGATGGTTAAGTATCAATCAATCATATTGAAAACAACAACCACATGTTAAAAACAAATGGGCAGAAAGTGAGAGACATAACATATGATATAATAAGGCTGCACAAGACAAACAAGAAACAGAAGAGAATAAAATATCAAAAGGGACCAACAAACAAACATGGACAATAATAATGTGACTAAACTTGAGCTTTCATAGTCAAACAAACAGAATCATCATCATTACTCTCTAAAATCTAAAAAAAGTACTTCATGGGTCAAATCTAAAATTGGTGCAACACAACAACAAACTAGAATGAACAGTCATTTTCTCCACTCTGAAAAATCAGATCTGATACTGCCTACTCGCTTTACAAATCTGCCACCTCATCATGTGTTATACTGTTAAACACACTTGTACAAAGTTGTTCATAATCAAATTGAAAGACCATGGTAAAATATTCCTAGCTTCATAAACAATTAACAGCCAGCCGTTGCAATTCCTCCTAGCCAGAGGTTGATTCCTAAGGATGATACTGATATTGTGACTGCTGTTGCTGGTTATGGCGATCCTGCGTATGAAACGGGGGATATTGTGCAAATACCTGAGGCTGTGCCACCGATTGTTGTGGCTGATCTTGTGCTGGCACGTTCGGCTGTGATGGAAGCGGTTCTTCATTGAGTGGTTCATTAAGATCCATGGCTCCGAGAATTTCTAACTCCTGAATTGCCGCAAGTGCAGTGACTGGACTTTCATGGTCAAAATGTGGTTTGATAACAGCGAGAGATTCTTTTATTTTTCCTTGCTGGAAATTAATGTATGGATGATTAAAGATGATAACTTAGAAAATAAATAAATAAATGAATATATAAATAGAAATAAATGATAATTGAAACCAAATTTCAGCTTACAAAGTGTTCGAGTTTCCTTCTGAGATCAACTTCATTAGCAGCATTTTGTGAAGCACTGGCAGTAGCAGGTGCTGTTCCCTGTCCAATCAAATTGATGCAATAGAAGATGTGTGAATAAGAAAGGTTTATAAATGCTTAGGAAGAAAATAAGAATATTCTAACCAAAAACTATTTCACTTCAAACTCAATTTAGCGAAAAACAATTTCACAAAAACTTGCACTTTCAAGAATCATGATTGATAAATGCCCAAACACACTACATGACAGTCATTTCCAACAGTATTTAGAAAACAAAAAGCTGTGTTTATACACTTACAGTAGAGTTGTAACCAAAAAAACATACAGTATAAATAAAATGACAGTTAAATTTCCAAAACATTTATTATATCTAAGGGTTTAAATGATAAATAAATAAATAATCAGATAGAGTGAAAATGAGTGTTACAATGAAGTACCAGAAATATAAAAACTATATAACAAGAAGGAAAACTAATATCAATAAAGTAATTCAAGACAATATAAACTCAAACAAAAGTAGAAGTTATATATAATCCCACAAAAAATGAAGGATAAACTACTGATATAGACTATAAAATAAGATAACTTTCTGTAAATTTAGAAAGCAAAACAGAAGATAGGACATCTAACAATAATTAAGTATTCAAATATTTCATAAATTTTTTAATTTTAATTTTAAATTACATAAAAGGTGTGATATCGAATTTGCAAATGCTTCTCTATAAACTACAAAGTTCATTTCATACAAATATTGTAATCTCAGAAGTTGTTTATCACCCACTAAAAATAAGAATATTCAGATTAGAATAATAAAAACTAAGAAAGAAAAACAAAAACAAACAAAAAAAGACATTTGATAATAACAGAGTAAATCAAATTCAAATTTCAAAACATTGAACAACACAACACACCCAAAAATAGCAAATATGTAACCATCTATAGTCCAAGTCGTCAATAAAGTTCATTTGTCAGATTCAGACTGCATCATTTTATCATGTTAAATATATGTCATACTAATCCTAATTTAAATATAAATTCACAGCTTTGTCAGAGATATTACTACAAAATAATTTTAAAGTTATTAACGGTATTATTACATTTGAACCAAAATTTATAGAAGAGAAAAAACTAAGTTTTGTAAAGATACTTAAAATATTTTCAAATACTTTCAAATCATGCAAATATTTTCAAATACAACTTGAAGATACTTAAAATAATCCAGGAAAAAAAACACTATCTTTTTTGACAGAAAAATTCATTTTCTCACTGAAGAATTCACTATGTAAAATTCTGCAAGCAACAATAGTTCTACAAAGTAAACTTTCAATTTGAAGATTAAAATGCACAGCTATTTAAAATACAATTACAATATTATTTATATAAATATAAAAAATAAAAAAACTTCAGTCTACTTAAGTTAAACATGTTAAGTTCTGCATTTCAAGATAGTTTTACAGAACAAATTTGTAGTCTAGTCGTAAAATCCTTAGTTTTCCCCAACTGCAAATCATTCAATTATAACTAATTATTATAACCGCCAAAACAAAGTTCACCAAAAAATTGAATCAGTGAAAAAACATTACACTAAGTTACAATGGGTTTTTTTACAAGATTAAGCTACAATGTTCTGTTTATATTTCCACAGGTTATGGCAAAGAGCAGTACTTTATTTTAAAAGAAGTTAAATTAAATACTTATATACTTAAACAGACACATACACATAAAATAAACTTTTATTTCATAATATATTGTGAATTTCATTTCAAAGTTAGTAAAATCCAAATATATTTTGAATATAACTCAAAATATGGCAACAATATACCACAAACAATTTTAAAAATCAAAGTATCCTAGAAACATAATTTAAATCATACAATATTTTCAAACACAGTGTACATATTCTTTATAATCCAGAAAAATCCACTTTCTTTTTTGACATAAAAATACAATTTCAAACTGCATAATTCTCTCATGATAACCTCTGCATGTCATAAGAGTCCTACCAAGTAAATTATCAGTTTGAAGATAAAATTCACAGCTTTTAAAAAAATAATGACAGATTTATAAAAATCCTCTCCAGATTACATAAATACATATTTAATTATGCATTTCAAACTGAAAATCACTAAAGTTAAATACATACATAGATAATAGCATTGGGCAGTATATAATATTAAAACAAGTTAAATTAAACACTTATAAACATAAACAGACAGAAAAACACAAATAAAATACCATTCTTTTATAGGATTAACAACTTATTTCATTTCAAAATTAATAAATTCCAAATACATGTTCATGCATACATATGTAATATCATTGAGCAGTATCATATTAAAATAAGTTAAATTAAACACCAATATACATAAACAGACAGAGAAATACACATAAAGTAACCTTTTTTTAGTAGGAATAATAATTTTTTTCATTTCAAAGTTAATAAAATCCAAAATATGGCAACAATGCATAGATATGCCTAAAAAGACCTGAAATTACCATTTGCATCTCCAGTTAATCTTCCACCAACAAGAAGGAAAATCTTAATAAAAGTCAAAAAGTACAGACTTGGTATTAAATTCTATCAAAACAATCTATCCAACATAGATTTAAAAGAACCCAACTTAAAAAAGAAAATTATACACAACAAAAATGAATTTCATGAACCTTGTATATCCAAAAACCACTAATTAAACACACAACGTAATAGCAATGTTAACAATTTCAACACAAAATCAGAAAAAACACACAGCAAAATAGCAAAATTATCAATTCCAAGTTTCAACAGAAAATTAAAGGAAAAAAAAAAACACAAATAGCTCACCTTCTTTGGACGACCCACAGGCCTTTTTCCTGGAGCCCGCAGAGTAATCCCTCCAAATGCATGTCCTATACGGCCAGGACGTCCTCTTCCCCCACGACCTCGCCCGCGTCCTCTGCCTCCACCAGCAACCACAGCAACCGGAACAGCAGCAACAGCAGGATTCTTCCTTGGTCGTCCTCTAGATCTCGGAGTCAAAACAGCCACCTCAGGAACTGCAACTTGAGGCTGAGGCACTTCAGTTTCAGGAAGAGTAGTAGCAAACGGTATCGGAGTCGGATTCTGCTGCTGATTCTTCGGTGGACGTCCAGGTCGTCTCTTAGTGCCATCAGAAGCAACAGCTGGAGTTGGAGTATCAGGATTCACCTTCGGAGGTCGTCCGGGTTTCCTCTTTGATTTAGATTTAGAGCCGGGAGGACGTCCTCTTCCACGAGAGGCTGGCGTTGGTGGAACCTGCCCTTCAATCGGTGTAGGGTTTTGGCTAGGGCTTGGTGCCGTTGCATTCTTCAACCCAGATACATTCTTCGAACCAGGCGGACGTCCCGGACGTCTTTTAGTCCCCTCAGGAGTAGCAGCAGCAGCTTGAACATCGATCGCATCATCAGAAAGGCCAAGTGCAGCCCAAACAGGCTCAGCATTCTGCAACGGAGCGTTATTGTTGTCATTATTAGCAACAACAAGAGGAAGCGGCTGAGGAATAAAGTTATCTTGAGGTTGGGCTTGTGCTGGGCTTGGGGTTACGGATTTCCTTGGACGGCCACGGGGTTTTGAAGGCTGAGAAGGTGAAGCGGTTGACGGTGGTTCAGTTGAAGCAGGTGGAGGAATAGATCTAGGGATAATATAGGAATTTTTGATAGTTTGAAGTAATCCATCGGATTTCAAACGCTTCAAGTGATGAGTCAACAAGTTGGAGTGTGATTCCGGCGGTGGAAGCTGGTGACGGTAAACTTGTTCTATGTACTTAGAGATTGCTCTTTTGCTTGAACCATTCTTCTCCTTCAAAGCTTCAATAGCTGTGTAAATCATCTACATAACAACAAAAAAGATTCTTAATAATCCTCAAGATAGAGAGAGAGAGAGAGAATTTAGAGAGAGAAAGATAATTGTTACCTCAGCATAGGGTGGGTGGTTTGAAGACGGAGATGGAAGGTGGTTATTTGGTTCGACGGCGAACGGGACGGCGTTGGTAGCCGGAGCTGAAGGTGAAGAGATCGAGGATGGGTCCATGAGGAGAGAGAGGGAGGGGGTAGATTCGAAATTTGGGAAAAGAAAAAGGAAGATTTTAGGGTATTTTTAAGAGAGAGTGTGAAAATATTTATTTATATGGAAAATGGAGAAAAAGATAAGAATGAAGAAATAGGGTTAGGTAGTTTTGCAAAATGGTGTGGTGGAAATTGGAATCTAAGGTTGAAATGAGACAATATAAGCAATTAATCAAAAACGCTTTTTTGAGGATTCTAGCCTTACTTTAAGGCCTTTTTTCCCTTGCTTCATGTTTGGATTTAAGAATCCTGACATAATGTGATTATTTTTAATAAAAAAAATTAAAGTTGGATCAAATATATCATTTAAATCATTTAAAACCAATCCATTTTTTATTTTAATTTTTATTAAATTTTAAATCAAATTTAAATATTACAGTTAAAAAAGTTCCTGACTTAAAGAATATATAATAAAAATGACCCTATAAAATAAAAATAATATGTATAAATAGTTTTTAAAGACCAATATTTGTGACATAAAGTGATTTTATTTTAATAAAAAAACAAAAATTTTAAAAGTTGGGTCAAATATAATATTTAATTCATTTAAATTTCATTGAATTTTAAGTTTAGATTTTATTAATTCTGTATTCAAATTTAATATTGCAGCTAATAAAAAAATGATATTTTAATCTGTAAAATTGTCCCTATAAAATGAAAGTAAAATGAATAAATAGTTTTTAAAGACTAATAATTGTGACATAATAAATAATTATTTATAAAAAATATTGCATACCTAAAGTTGGTCAAAATTAAAACCAATAAATTTTAATTTGTGTTTTTATTATATTTTAATACATATTTAAATATATCAGTTAATAAAAAAAATTCCTAATTTAAAAAATATATAATAAAAATGACCATATAAAATTAAAAAAATATATAAATAGTAAAAGACTAATATTTGTAACATACTGTGATTTCTTATAAACAAAACTACATATTTTAAAGGTTTGGTCAAATATATCATTTAATTCATTTAAAACCAATAAGTTTTATATTTAGTTTTTATTAAATTTTAATTCAAATTTAAATATTGCAGTTCATAAAAATAGTTCTTAATTTAAAAAATATATGATAAAAATGATGTTTAAATCCTTATATATGAACCTTTAAAATAAAAATATATGAATAAAAACTTTTGATTAAGTTTTTATTAAAAGTTAAATATTTTAGTTGATAAAAATTTATTAATTTAATAAAAATTGATATTGTAATCTTTAATAGTGTCCCTATAAAATTAAAATAAAATGAATAAATAGTTTTTAAACACTATAATTGTGACATAATATAATAACCTTTAAAAAATTACTACATATTTTTAAGTTGGGTCAAATGTTTCATTTAATTCATTTAAAACCAATAAATTTTAAATCTAACTTTAAATAAATTTTAATTCAAATTTAATTATTAAAGTCAATAAAAATATTTCCTAATTTAAAATATAATAAAGAAATGATATTTTTATCTTTGAAAATGACCCTATAAAACAAAAATAATATGAATGAATATTTTCTAAAGACTAACTTTATAAGTTTGCTATTTTTATAAACACTATAAATATATCTAACTAATATATATATATATATATATATATATATATATATATATATATATATATATATATATATATATATATATATATATATATATTTATTTATTTATTTATTTATGTTGACTTCAAATATCAGAATAAATGCATGTTTGTTTTTCTAAATAAAAAATATATATCACTTTCTGTAAATAAAAATTTTATAGTTTTTTATTTATTTGTTACAGTTACAAAAAAAATCAATAAACATATAATATTGCAGTTAATAAAAATAGTTCCTGCTTTAAAAATATATATTATAAAATGATACTTAAATCTTTAAAAATTTCCCTATAATATAAAAAAATGAATAAATATTATTTAAAGACTAACTTAATTCATATTTGAAAGTTGGATAAAAATTATTATTTAATTCTTTTTTGAATATTGCAGTTAATAAAAAGTTCTTAATTTAATAAAAAATATTTAATCTTTTAAAATGTCCCTATAAAATAAAATGAACAAATAGTTTTGAAAGATTAATATATGTGACATAATATGATAATATTCATTGAAAAACTACATATTCAAAGTTGGGTCAAAGATATCATTTTATTAATTTAAAACCAATAGGTCTAATTTATTTTTTATCAAATTTTAATTCAAATATAAACATTGCATCTTACAAAATGTTCCTAATTTAAAAAATATATAATAAAAATGATATAAAAAAATAATCATATGAATAAATTGCTTTTAAAGACTAGTATTTGTGACATAACGTGATAATTTTTATTAAAAACATTACATATTTTTAAGTTGGGTCAAATATATCATTTAGTTCATTTAAAATTGATAATTTGTAATCTCATTAAATCTATTAAATTGATAGTTGTACAAATACATCGCATAAAGAGCCGCAGATAGGGCTGGCAATGAACCAAACCAACTCGAAGATAGTTCGGAATTCGACTCGACAATTAAATCGTTGAACTAGGTTCATGAACCAAATGAGTTGAGTATGAGCGAAAAATTAAGTTCGTTAACTAAATGAGCTGAACTTGAACTATACATAGTTCGACTCGTTAGGTTCATGAGTCAACTCGATTACATATGAAAAGAATTATACTGTCTTTAAGATTAGGTTTAAATATTTACTTCAAATCTTAGACAAATTTAATCTTCAATTTAGTAGTTTTTGAGTTAGACTCTCAAATGTATCTCTTGAAAGTTGTGTAGGTTTTGAATTAGTAGATTTTGAAGATAAAGTTAAATATCAATATGATAACTTTTATTTTATTTTAATATTTTATTTAAAAAATATATATTTATTTAAAATGTCAAATATACTAAAAAATATATATATTTTAAAAAATAGTTTTTAAGTTCGTGAACCATGTGAGCTGAACCTAATGAGATGAACCTAACGAGTCGAATCGAACTGTTCGTGAACTTATAACGAGTCGAGTTTGAGCTTAAAAAAAAGTTCGTGTCGAACTCGAACTCGAACTCGAATTCGAACAATTCTTAACGAGTCGAGCCGAGCTGAGGTGAGTTCGACTCGACTCGACTCATTTCCAGCCCTAGCCGCAGATGATGAATTCGCCATATCTCATTTATTATCTTTAAAATGTGAATTTCATTCACTAAAATACTTGACAAAAAAATCAATAAACAGTTTATTTAGTTTTTATTAAATTTTCATTTAAATTTAAATATTGTAGTTCATAACTATAGTTCCTAATTTAAAAAATAAAACAAAAATGACATTTTAATCTTTAAAATAGCCCTATAAAATAAAAATATATGATTAAAAAGTTTTATTAAGTTTTTATTCAAATTTAAATCTTGTAGTTAGCAAAAACAATCCTTATTTAATAACTGAAATGATATTTTAATCTTCAAAAATGTCCCTATAAAGTATAAATAAATGTAACAAATAGTTTTTAAAGACTAAAAATTGTGACATGGTACAATATGTTTTATAAAAAATCACATATTTTTAAGTTTAGTTAAATATATTATTTAATTCATTAAAAATTTATTTTTAAATTTAATTTTTATTAAAATTTAAATATTTAGTTAATATAAATAGTTCATAATTTTAAATATATATATATATATATATATATATATATATATATATATATATATATATATATATATATATATATATATATATATATATATATATATATATATATATATATATATATATATATATATATATATATAATAAAAATGATGGTTTATTCTTTAAAAATAACCTCAAAAATTAATCTTTAGAAATAGCCCTATAAAATGAAAATATATGATTAAAAATTTTTATTAAGTTTTTATTCAAATTTAAATATTGTAGTTAGCAAAAACAATCCTTATTTAATAAATGAAATGATATTTTAATCTTCAAAAATGTCCCTATAAAGTATAAATAAATGTAACAAATAGTTTTTAAAGACTAATAATTGTGATATGGTACAATATGTTTTATAAAAAATCACATAATGATGTTTTATTCTTTAAAAATGACCGCAAAAATTAAAAAATATTATTGTATAAATAGTTTTTAAAGAATAAATTTTTATTTTGTGATTTTTATAAACACTATAAATATTTTTTACTCAGAAAAATTATTTTTAAATATATTTATGTGCTGAACTTCAAATTTTAAAATATATGCATGTTAGTTTTTTAATAAAAAAAAGTATCACAATTTGAATATAAAATAATTTATTATTTTAGTTATTTTATTTAATTACAAAAAATATATCAATAAACATATAATATTAAAGTTAATAAAATATTTCCTAATTTTAAAAATATATAATAGAAAACTATACTTAAATGTTTTAAAAAAGTCCCTATGATATAAAAATAAAATGAATGAATATTTTGTAAGGAATAACTTTAAAAGTTTGTGATTTTTATTTAAACTATAATTATTACACTTGAAAATAATTTAATCAAAAATATTTTTACATATATATATATATATATATATATATATATATATATATATATATATATATATATATATATATATATATATATATATATATATATATATATATATATATATATAAAAGCAAAAAATTGGTTATTCTTTTTTTTTTTTATGAAATTTTATTCAACTCTTAAAAATCTCTAACTTTTTCATATATAATAAAATTACATTAAAAATAAATAATTTTGCTTTAATTTTTTTAATGTTACAAAATCAATTAATGTTATATTCCTAAAAATATTTTTTTCCTTTTTCCAATTGTTTTTAGGGTTAAAATACAAATCTGCATGTTATAGTTAAATTAAGTATATTTTTAATTCATCAAAATTCATGAATTTTCTAATTTAGATGACATTTTTTTATCAATTATTTTTTAATGATTTAATGCATCATTTGCTCTTTTAACTTTATTTTAAGTTTTACTTTAATC